TGGTATTGTTTATCCTTTGGTTACAACGATAACTCTTTTCCACCTGATCATTCCATACGATACCTCACGGACTACCGCTTTAGTCTACCTCGCCTTAGTACGGACCGAGCCTAGAGAAGTATAGCCTGACCCCGTGTAACAATAGTCTATTTTGCCGTAGGAAGGGTTTCCTGCACTTGCTCTAGGTAGTAAAAGTTAAGCCCTTCGTAGAACTTCTTGTTCGATTCCTATCGTCTTTGGGTAGCGTCCTGGGCGTTGGTTTCGGTTTCTTCGTCCGCGGGTTCGGAATTCGGCGTTGCCCTGCTGCTGATACTGTTGTCAGATTCTTCAGACTGGCCGCTTGTTGACATCCTTCGCCTATTCCCTGCTCGCGATCTGCTGCGGAAGCGGGTCCGAACCATACTAAGATCAAGGACCTTGCTTCCAAGTGGTACGCATCCTGCAGCAAGCCAGAAAAGATATTGCAAGCTTATCGCATCCGGTACCAGACTCCCTCTTAGCTGCCGGTTGTACGTCGCCAAATAGAGACGATCTGGAAACCCGCCTTCATCAACACTTCGATGTTTCAGCGGGCCAATGCTGCCGTACAGCACTTGGGACTCGCGATCACCTGGATCGCTTTCATGGTCCAATCGATTTTTGTTCTTCTCAAATACCACTTGCCCTCGTCTTCACGATCGCTGTAACTTCCAAGCAGTCCAAAAACCAGAATCCATAGTTTGTGTGCAGGGAGCCACGTCTGTCGTTCTTCGATGACCAGGTGCCCCTTCTATCATTGGAACCTGGCAGGGAAAAGGCACGTAAAGCTGAGCAGAACCTGATCCATCCTGTTCTACTGGGACGGTCTTTCAGGCACTCGTCTTTCCTTTGCCCATTGAAACCTTCAGGGATTTGGGGAATGTTTGTCAGTCTCGGAACGCGTGCGCGTCGAAGTATCCTCGTGTTATACCATATGGGTATTCCGGAGGACACGAAAAGGTGCAGAGGGTCATCGATAGCCCGAGAGGCAATGTGCCGCTCTGAGCGGAGGGCAATCCAAAGCAAGAATGGCGCGATGATACCAAAGAGCGCAATGAGAGCGGGGCCTGCAGCTAGCCACGTGCCCACTGCGGATGCGACGTCTACGCCTTGTGCCATTGTAATGATTAATGGGTGTAGGGAAAAACGACATGTTTGTGCGCAGGCGTTGGTGCGCCGTCCAGCTGGACCCAGCCATGAGGTGCAATTTTGGGGGCCATATGCAGGTGTGGCACATCAGCTCTCCTGGTAAATTGATTCGATGATGGGGCGGGGAAGGTACATGTATTGCACGTGCGTCGACACTCAGCTGGGGTTAGCGAATTCTCAGCAAGCACGTGACTAAGGTCCCGAAAGTATAGGAGAGTCGCAAGACGGACGCAGCACGAACAGTGATTGAAAAGACTGCGGATGCCTTCGTGCGCACTCTAGTTTCCGATAGAGTCCGACATGGCCATGCGCCGGTCTCACGGCACCGCACGACGTTCCGCGGTAGGATGTGCTTGATATTGCGGTTTCCTTTCAACAGACTGGTACAAGCGATCGTGATTCCAATCGGCTGGCATCCATTCGCGCATAGAATGAGGTATCTTGATTACCCAATATACTAACATGGACACCCAACGTAAGCTCCACCTTGCGCATGACTTTTTTCTTTTAGATAGAGTTGTACAGCGTGGTTGCGGCACAGGTGTTACCTTTTCAACCCTTGGTTGTAACACCTTCGACCTGCAGCGGGGCAACAACATAGCCACAATGTATGCATCCCCTTTGTTTTGCGACGTGTGCGCTTCTCACGTCCGGATCCAACTTTTCTGTCGTATTCATTATGGACCGAACAGAAGCGCCGCTGCGACCATTTCTTCCTCGCGATGAGGGCGACCCCAATATCTTGGACGATGACATGATCCAAAGTGCGTCTCACTCGTCACGGTCAAGCACACCGTCAGCGAAGCCGAAGAATCTATCTGAATTCTCAGCAGTTAAAATGACTCGCTTCGCGGCGTTCTTCGCCTCAGTAGCTGCATTCTTCGTTGCGGTGCCACGATACTTCACCACAGGCTGCAAACGAAGTGGGCATGCTTTCGCGGGCATGGCACGAAGGCGGTGGACTTCAGAAGCTATCAGTCTCCTCTTGGCATCGCTTTCGCTCTTGGGCCTCGTCGCAACTCTGGTCGCGCACCAAGGGACGCCTTTGCCGCAGTGGCCGCAGCTCATCACCATCAACTCTATCATCTTTCTCTTCTCCATCCTGATACGGGCCGGAGTCGGCGTAGACCTTACAGAAGGTACAATCATCGCCCATCGCGATACTTAGGTTGCTGACTATACCCAGGCATAAGCCAATCCAAATGGCAGTGGTATCGGGTCGCGCGCCAGCTCCAAGACATGAAGCGATTCGATGCAGCTAGTCGCAGCGCGTGGGGCTCAATTATCTTGCTCCTGCACCTCAAGATTAAGCGTCCATAGTAGGTATAATAGATTCTGGTCTCGGGCATAGCTGACATCTCACGCGCAATATCACTGCAGCCCTGGGAGCGCTGGCGTCGATCGTCGCTGCATTGACCGGTTTTAAGATGCAACAACTAATTCGATTCGACGAATGCCTCTTAGCCGATCACAATGCGACGGTCCACATACAGAGGACGAATGTCTTTGGCGCTCTCGGGCGGCGCTTTGGTCCTCTTGATTTCGATGCCTTTCCACCCATGGCTTCTGCTATAGACGTGGGCATTATACAACCTGTGGAGAACTTGACCAGTGTCCTGTCTCAGGGGTGCACCACTGGGAATTGTACATTCTCATCGCTCAACGGGGAAACCTTCTCAACACTAGCGATTACACACTCCTCCGAAAACGTCACGTCGCAAGTCCAAACACACACTCTTCGCGGAAACGAGACTTTGACGTTTGATTTATGGGATGTGAAGGCTGAGTCTATCACCGCCATGAACGGTACCGAAGTGGGCAACTATATCCTGGCATTTCCCCTGGGCGAAGATGATGTTCCTCTTGCATTCGCCCTGCGACCCTGGCCTGGGATTCTTCGTACTGGTGTACCTACCAATTTCTACGAGGATCCTACCGTTAAGATGATTATCAGGCCAAACTTCACGGAAGAAGCGTTCGAAGAGTACACTGCAGTGAGCTGTTCGCTACATCCCGCCGTTAACACGTACTCTGCGCGGATCTGGAATGGTCTCTTGACGGAGGACCTGGTCAGGAGCATCCCCTTCAGGCCACATCTTGTATCACAAGACATTCCGCGGTTCAACAACGTATTGAGAATCGGCACAGCGAGCACGATCCAGGATGGGTCACAAATAATGTGCGAACCCCGAGAGAGCCCGGCGCCTGGATATGAGCCAATCGCACAAGGGAATATTGTCACCACAGCTGGTCAGATTGTCGAGTTCGGCGCCGTGAACGACACCCGTGTGTGGTATGTCCCTCAAGACTGCGTGTGGCAATATCAATTGGAATCTTTGATCGGATTCCACGCATACTTATCTCAGATCTTCGACGGTCAATGGCTCGGCAGCACCATAAAATACTTCAAGGGTAGTATACATCTGCGTCAGTTGTATCAGGATGGAAATATTACGATGGACACTGTCGATGAAGTCTTCGGCAACATCGCCCGATCTATGACTAACGTCATCAGGACATACGGCGTGACCAACTACACTGGAGTACCAGACGCAGGTCCAGCAAGAGGTACAATGTGGTTCACGTCAACATGTGTTCACGCCCAATGGTCGTGGATCGCATTTCCCGCCGTTATGATTGGTATGGCCGGTATCTTCCTGGTTTTAGTGCACATTGAAAGCAGAGGCACAGAGACAGAGAGGTTGTGGAAGAGCTCTGTACTTGCGCTATTGTTCTGCGAGATGGATAGCGTTGTGGTAGGCAAGGCGCATCCAATTCACAAGTCAACGCTTAACGAGGTTGCGAAGTCGACGAGGGTGAGTTTTGGGAAGGGTCGCGAGGTGTTGAAACTTGTTGTTCGGTAGTTCAGCAAGTGATGTTGATCCCTGACTGGTGAGTAATCTTGACGAGCTTTCGAAGATGGTAGAAGCGGTCATCAATGACGTTGGCGCGCAATGGAGGCTTTTCTAGCGAATTTACAATGTTAACTACTCCAATGATCAGACGGCGATCGGCGATTATTGGTCCGACTAGGTGAAAGACTTCGCCATCGATTTTGTTACTAACAACGCCAAGGACTTTTGCCGGGGAGCAATCGATCTTGTTCACGAAACATAGACAAACAGTGCGGATGCGGGTGCACAGAATATCATTAACGCTCTGACAAGCTGGGAGACACAGATGGACGAGATGACCACTGATACATCTTTATGATTTTGATAGCATTAGACTATCGCACAAGGAATTGAGAATGTGCGATGCTAGCTATCGCTATGTACATGTAATCTCATCCCATGAATAAATTACAATAAATGAAAGTTGACGAACATTGCAACTGCCCTGTCGAAAAGACTAGGACTTCACTTTCTCTCTTGTACTCGTCTCTGGCACAAAGATGTAGTCCATCATTTATATTCATATGGATCTCAAAGTTTCCCCGGCCATGCATGATTGACAATCTGCTCCCATGTGAACCCGTCCATCCAGTCATAAAAATCCAAAACGGCTGTCGTTGGAATGGTTAGCCATCCAAAATTCCGCTGTGGACCAGACCGGGTATTCCTAGGCACGGCAGCAACCGGGTCGTATCTCGCGTCCGCAACTTTTAGCAGGCGGAGGTCAGGATCTTGTAGGACTTGAGCATCCGCCAACAGGAAGATAAAAGTACCCCGGTTGCGCCGCTGAGTCCCCCTCATCGGCTGACCCCCGCTCCCTTCCAGATACACTTGCCGGACGTCTTCCATCGTTAATCCGTCCAAGGTAGCCAGATCTGAACGCGCATCGAGTCGAAATTGATCCCGTGCTTTCGTGACAGCAGCAGGCTCTTTGTCCGCCTCTTCTAGTTCGGTGAGACCTTTTCCCACGCCGTCGGTGATATTTTTGAGCAGCTCTAACCACTGTTCATCAGACCTAGGGCCATAATATGTTCTACAAATCGTGTAGCCCCAATGCACCAGGAACTGTTCTTGATCCTCTTCCGGTCCCATAATCCTATCTTTAAGCCATTTGTAGAGGTGGTCGAGAAATTCTGTAATGGTTTCCGTAGCGGCGGGGAAAACAGAGATGGAGAATGGCTTGTGTAAGTGTGTACGTATAAGTGAGTGTTGGTAGGCGTAATTGGCTTTTCAGAAAGGCCAGATAGGCGAAGGCGAAGGGATCAAGAAAAGCGATCTTTCCTGCACGTTAAGACGATAGCGTAAGGAATGCCCGTGCCGCTCTGCGCTAGCACCGAAATGCTTTCCTCCGTGCGGCAAGGTGATGAGCCTGCACCGGCACACCCGTGATTAGTCGCCAGGCTGTGGCTAGTGGTTCGGTGAACCATGTCCGTGGTATCCTACTTCAGCTACTTGAACCTCAGAGTCTGGATTTTGAATGTGCCGGCTCGAAGTCGTTCTATCGCCTGGCCGTCCATTAGGCCTTGTACAAATGCTTCGCCAAGCACCTGGAAAGCATCGCCAATTGGTCTGACAGCAAGCGGCGTGCTGCAACCCAACACGATGGCTATCTGATCTCCAACCTCAACATGATGTTTTGTACTTTGGTACATATCGCTGGGGGCCCAACCCATCAACCCGCCAGCAGTCGTCATGAACCTGCGTCGTTTTCCACTACGCTCAGCGCAGGCATAGACCTCCGTGTAGTCGTACTCCGACGCACCGTACGGAATGTCATCGTCAAAAAAATCACCGAAGCACCATTCACCGAGTTGAAACTTGTCGATCGCTTCACGGAAACCTTCCCATCGAAAGTAGTACCCTGCTTGTCCCGAGAGCCAGCTCCAGCCTCTTTGCCGGAACTGCGGCCGACCAACATCGAACGTGGCTGGAAGATGGAAGATCGCGCGGTGCCGTGAGTCGGGCGCATGGCCATGCCGAACTCTATCGGAGACTAGAGTGCGCATGATGGCATCGGAAGTTTCTTCGAAGCCACCGTACGCGCTGCGCCAGTCTCGCGGCTGTACAATACTCTCTGGATACCATTCAAAGTAGCCCTTCTCAGCAGCAGACAGTCCAGAGATAGTGTCAACAATGAAACCTTGACAATGCAACTGTAGGCCGTCGTTGCTAAAACTCAGCTGGGGGGATGATTTACCGCTGGCTGTATATGTTCCGAACGTCTCCGGGCCTTCCAAGTTTGGAAACAAGTATGTTGGACCCCAGAGAAGTTGTTCCACCCGGCTATGTCGTACGCGCGAGTCCCACTTCCAGTCAGCAACCCACGAAGGGCACCCAGTTGGACCCCAGGGATTACCTTCACGAAGAGGCTCAAGATCATTGAAACCATCAATGAAAGCACGAGCTGTGTTTGTGTACACTGTCGCTGATGTTGCATTGTAGTCTGGTTGTATCAACCGTGCAACCTGATCTGGCACCAGGCCGAGGAGTGCATACACTTTGTCTCTATCATCAATGCACTGTGTCGCATTGGCAAGGTCGAGCAGTCGTGCGAACACAAGCTTAGGATCTTGTGCAATGGGTGTCGCACTCATGATTGATAGGTCCTGATAGATCAGGTGCAAGCTTCTGGTAGACCAGGGAAGCTTTTGAGAGACTACATCTTCCCAGAGGCACCGATCTTTGACGAGCCAAAGACGTTCCTGCAGTGTTGCAATTCCTGCGCAAAATGTTGGCCAGTCAATCGTGGACGCGCCACACCTTAATCGGACATTTGTACCGCCCATGACTATCTCTTGTATGATCCAGAGCCTGCTCCAGTACTCGCGATTCACGATCTGTTGGAGTCCTAACCAGCAAGTACCACCCAAGAACCTCGGATCGTCACGCAACCTGCGTTCCAGCTCAAGCTCACACCCGGCTTCTCTGAAAGCTGCCAAATCTTTAACGAGCTGTAGGCCCGCACCACTATTCGCCGTTGCCTCTCCTAACCACGCGACGACGCTCCACGAAGCACTGTAAATATCCTTCATGCGCTGTACCTCAACTGCGCGCTCTAGAAGGTCGTCTTGGTTGATGCACAGTGCATCCACCCAGAGCATGAACTTATCAGAGAACAAGCCCTCCCGACGAAATTCCTGTAGAGCGCGCTCGAGGCTTTTGGTGACCTGAACAGGCTGGTTGTCGACATATATGGTCTGTTTGTCAGCTTGGTCACCCCATACGTAACTCAGGCTTGCAAAATCGCCCCAGACGAAACGATGGAGCTCAGCGTATGGGTGTTGACTTGCGATGCGGATCATAGGTGCGAGACGCGCAACTGTCGAACGCGCTGTCCAGTCTTTGCGCAGAGCGGGGTCGCGAAGGGATTCGCGAACGCTCAATTTGCAGCGTTCCCCATCTGTAGTCCACTTCATACACCTGCTGTTGAACTCATCAGACACGTCCAACAAGGACACTGTGCTCAGGCGACATCGAATCGTTGAGCCTTCGGGCTGGGGTACAATTCGAATCAGCCGTAGTTGCGGTTCTTCGAGTGGATAGTACAGCTGGGTGCGACTTGTGCGACCACGTGTCGTCCTCATCATGCCCTTCTGAATAGACACAATACTCTCCTCTATGGTTGAGCACCCTTGGGCTGGTTTCAGGGGGTTGGGTCTGGAAAGTGTTGTGCTGAGCAGAGTTGAGGGTTAGGACAAATCGAGGAAGGCTAGAATAACCCCGCTACTCGCCTGGAAGCCACCCGCTTATATCTCTAGAGAGCTAGACTGCTACAAAGTTAAGCGGCAGTGTTGTTGCCCACTTCTACTGACGAATATCACGCCCTTCTCTATTCTCTAAAGTCAAAGTTAACTGTACCCCCTGTGACGTGAGTTCCTGGTACCACATAGCGACCTTTTATAGATCCGTAAAAGACAGGTCCACTGTAGGCATGTGTAGCATAGCCATGGCTTTGCGAAATGTCGCTCTGAGGTAGAGTAGAACGCGCTTCGCTAGAAGCTGTGTCGATCTCCCTCTGCAACCGGGCAAACGCTTTCCTCCGACCTTCACCATATATAAGCGGCATATGCACGTCGAAGATGCCTAGCAGTGAATACGCTGCATCCTCTTCGCGCTTTGTCTGGCGTTGCCCTACCCATGACATGCGCTCGTCGACGCTAAGTTGGTCCAGTGGACGGCTTCCCTGGAGAGCCTCAACGCTGATCCCAGTGATGTCGTGGAGTTCTTGCACCAACGAGTATTTATTGCCAAGCCGCTCGCCCTCGTCTGAAAAGAACTCGACTGACATCGGGGCAACTAGTTCCTGAAGCGTCCAGCCTCGTGTGAACCATCTGCTCTGCTGGAACGCACGGTTCCAGTGTTGTTGTGCAGGCGTGCTGCTGGTGAGGCTGCTGGTCAAAACATCGGATAGATACACGTAGCATCGGGCAGCGTCGCGATGCCAGGCAAACATAGAGTTGATGGCCTCAGTCAGCTCTGCGCTGCTCGACTTGTCGATGCAGCAAGTGTCGACCCAGAAGTAGCGGAGACCGTCTTTGGCTGCCTGATTTGCGCAGAACTGGAGTTTCCGGTAGCCGGCCTTAGTCGTACCTGCATCTTGCTCCAGATCTGCATAAGTGACCTCTTCTTGATCTGGGCCCCAGGTGTGGGATAAGATGGCATAACGTGGGATGTCATCGCTCACAAACTCTGTCAGGCTGTATCTATCGCCGTCCTTGCGTTGCAGAAGACGCATGGTTCGTAGGCGACGCCAAAAGTTCAGCTCTTGATAATGTGTTTTCTTAGTCGGAGAGGGAGGAACGAAGACCCGAAGCGATGATGGAGATGAAGATGCTCCTAGACGGCAGGAAATGAAACGTCCAAGGCTGAGGCCGAGGCTGAGGCACGCTTGGCATCCTTCCAGCGAGCGCAGCTGCAGACCTTCTCCGCTATCTATATCGTCCTTACTTCAACTCTTCAAGATCACAAAGTTTCGCGCAAACACCGACTTGCACTCTTCATGGCCAGCACGTTCCATGGAGCTATCGACGCTCATGTCGCCATTCCCGCTCCACATTGCGGGCCTGGTGGGACGATGAACTTCAACTTCGGGTCTGGCCGAGCAGATGGTACCCTACCTTTGGATCACGGCGCCAGACTACCACCAGGCTAACGAACGCCAGGGCAAAAGCGCAAAGTAGAACCGTTCTCAACGGTGCCATTTGCGCCGGACCCTGACCTTGTCAACCGGCCTGCGATCGCCGACTGGGTGCGCGACAAGTGCGCGGGACCCGGCGCGCGGGCAGCGCTGGTGGGTCTCGGCGGCGTAGGGTACGTCGACGTCGCTGTACCGACTGCACGCACGGTACAGCACAACTGACAGACGACAGCAAGTCGCAGCTCGCCCTCCAGTACGCCCATAACATCCGCGATGCGGCACGTCACACGTTTGTGTTCTGGGTGCACGCCAGCACCCAGGCCCGGTTCGAGGAAGCGTACAAAGACATCGCCAACCGGCTGCAGCTGCCGGGGAGGGACGATTCGAAGGCGAACGTGTTGCGACTGGTGCACGACTGGCTGCGGGACGAGGCGAATGGACAATGGGTGATGATTGTCGACAACGTGGACGATATAGAGACCTTCTTCCCGTCGCGGAAGCGCCAGCGCCAGGGAGACGAGACAGACGCCAGCGCGCAGATACCGCTGGCCACCTACCTTCCGCAGAGCCGCAACGGGGCGATACTAGTCACGTCACGTAGTCAAGACGCAGCCACCAGGCTAGTGGGAGGCTACAACAGGACCAAGGGAGTGCTTGCGATGGACGAGGGCGAAGGCCTGCAGCTGCTTCGCAACAAGCTGAAGGACCCGCCAGTCGAAGAGAGCGCTGTAGATTTGCTGCGCGCGCTCGACTGCATACCTCTCGCTGTCGTCCAGGCGGCCGCGTACATCAACCGACGTGGGCGCATGACAGTCGCTGGCTATCTAGCCGAGTTTCAGAAGGACAGCAAAAAGCGCGAGAGCCTGCTCAACTGGGACGCGGACGAGCTGCGCCGCGACGGGAGCGCGTCCAATTCGGTGGTGACGACGTGGCAGATGTCGTTTGAACAGATCCAGCGGGAGCGGCGGTCGGCAGCCGAGCTGCTGTCGCTGATGAGCTTCTTCAACCCGCAGGGCATACCTGAGTCGGTGTTGCGGACCGCAAGAAGAATGGGGTCAGAGAACAACAAAGACGCAGCCAGCGCATTTCACGAGGACCTGGACACCCTACAGGCGTACTCTTTAGTGTCGATGACAGCAGGCAGTGACACATGCGAGATGCACGCTCTAGTGCAGTTCTGTACGCGAGTCTGGCTATCGTCGTGTGGCGATGCAGAACAGTGGGAGCAGCGATTTGTGGTGCTGATGGCGCAAGAGCTTCCCAACGGGGAGCATAAGAATTGGGCAAAGTGCCAGCAGCTGCTTCCGCACGTTGAACCACTTTTTAGCACTCAGCCAGCCAACCAAGAAGCGTTGGAGGCATGGGCGAAGGTGCTTAGCAACGCAGCATGGTATCTGTGGAAGAGTGGAAGCTATAGTGTAGCGCAACAGATAGCGGCAAAGGCAGTTGCCGCCGGAGAGCAAGCACTAGGGCGAGAAGATCAGCTGACACTAGACACCGTAGAAATACTGGCGTTAGTGCTGCGGGCCCAGGGCGAGTACGGCGAGGCAGAGACGCTCCACCGGCGAGCGCTGGAAGGGCGGGAGAAGAAGCTGGGCGAGGACCACTCCGACACGTTAATGAGCGTGGACAACCTATCAATAGTTCTCCAGGATCAGGGCAGGTACGAAGAGGCAGAGACGCTCAGCCAGCGGGCGCTAAAAGGGTTAGAGGAGAAGCTGGGCGAGGACCACCCGAACACGCTGACGAGTATGAGCAACCTAGCGGAGGTGCTGCACCTGCAAGGTAAGCACAGGGAGGCAGAGATGCTCAATCGGCGAGCACTAGAAGGCTCAGAGAAGAAGCTGGGCCAGGATCACCCTGACACGCTGACATCTGTCCACAACCTCGCTGTTCTCTTGGACAATCTGCGCCGGTACCCAGAAGCGGCCGAGCTTTACCAACGAGCGTGCGATGGGCGTACCCAACAGCTTGGTTCTCAGCATCCACATACTATTGTGTCTCGCAATGACTTTGCAGCTATGCAGCGAGAGGCAATGGAAGCTGGATTGGCGCAAGGTCAGGGCTTACCTCCAGGCAGCTCCGAGCGTATTGTTACTACTGGGACTCGTGAGAACGACGGTTGACTAGATAATGCGCGACCTCTATCCAAGATGATGCATAGTCTAGGGTTCACGGCACAGATTGTACCCGTGTATATTGGCGAGAGACTTCCCGCTCGTCTCTGCGAACTGATGATCTCCGTTGATATGATCTTCATCGGTACTGGGTCTGTCCTCATATACGCCTTCAACCCGGCTCTCCAGCACGTTCCTCATGGCTGGAGATACATGTTGAGCTTGGGTGCGTGGGTATCTATCCTGCTCGGGGTCTTTCTCTCCACGTGCCCAGAAAGTCCTCGTCAATTGATGTACCACATTAAGTGGGAGCAATGCATCGAAGTCATTCGTCAAGCTTATCCCGACGTTACTGACGAGCAGGTCACGAATAAGATGTTGTCTGTTGAGACGTATGTCGCACATGTCAAGGCACTTGAGGCGCAGATGACAGTCACCAGATCGCTCAAGGCCTTCTTCTTCGTACCAGCCAATCTGCGCTCTGCTATCACTGCCTGTGACATAATCCTGTTCCAAGGGATGTGCGGCTTCAATACGTTCATGTACTTCTCTTTGACGCTTTCCGACATCGTCGACTTTTCCGACCCTATCGCTGTTGGAACAGTCGTTGCTGGGTTCAGATGGAGTTTTACCGTCCTTTCCATCTTCCTTTTCGATCGCGTCGGCTGCCGCGGGCTACTACTTTGGACGATGTGGGGAATGCCAGTATGTCTCGTTCGCGGCAGTAGTCCTCAATTACATTGCACTCGACACGCGGACTCTGCAGCTGACCAACGATGAATTCGCCCGGCTAGCATATATCATTCGTGGCTTTCTATGCCACTGGCCTGAGATGCATGCCCTAACAAGCGCCTATCGTAAGCGGGTTCTGTCTCACTGCAATCTTTTTGAGCAGTACTGTCTAGCGTTAAGCTCACGTCGATGCTAAGTTCCAAAGATACCAAAGAAGCAAGTCTTGATTTGCCGTCCTTCTTTGTGCGCGATGTCTTTGGCCTACCCTACCCGGGTTCGCCTGCGTTATCACGTACCGCCGATCAGCCGTGGCTGGATCCAGCCTTGCGCCACTCACGACCTAGTGGTTGCGGTAGAGGTGGGGTTGAGTTTGTCCGTCTGCACCTCAGCTGAGGTCTCCGTCGTGACCTAGCTGTGCCGATGATCAACGTCTTTACTCATTCTTCCAATCACTTCCTGAACTAAGCATTAGCAATTTCCAGGGATGATATACTCAGCCTGTCGTGAGTAAAGCGTTGCACGTGGAAGTTGAGAACGCGCAGAGTGACACGATATTGTCACTGTTGTACAATGCTGAGCGGTAAGGGAATGTATAACAGCGCTCAGCCTTCTAGCACAGAGTTAGGTTTGCCTATGCGCCCTAAGCTGATACTCCACCTACTCCTGGAATCCAATAGCTGTCAGAACAGAATGACCTTCTCCGCACACTAGTGCGTTGCGATCAGCTCAAAGGATAATCGTAGCTGCAGTCCAGCGCAATGAGAAGCCACACCCCCAAGGGCCCCATCCCCCCCTCTCAACTTCCCGAGAACGTGGAAAAACATCGCGACGAAATCATTGTTTTCTACAACTGCATATGGAGTCTGCTTTGCTAATCAAAGTTCTAGCATAACAATAAGTTCTTCGTATTCATTACTCTTGTTCTAATGTTCCAAAGCATAGCTGAAGTGCTTCAGAGCATTAGTTCTGGCTTCGACCATTTCTCACCTTCTCAGCTGGCGTTGTCGTACAGCTATCGCGCCGAACCCAATGAACCCATCTTCATAAGGTCCTCTTCTTAGTGACAGTGCGGCTGAGGTCTGTTTCCCGCTAGTGTGATCGGTCAGTCTTTACATTACCCACGTGTATAAAGGCCCAGTGATGTCGAGATAAAGGCTTCAAGAAGCCAACAGACACTTATCTTTCCTGGTCGTCCGCTCATCAAGAAGTTCAGAACTCCTCCCTTTCCCAAATTCCAATCGTTTACTTGTTGCACAGAATGGCCAGAGCCGTAACAGCGGTCGGTCAAGGCTTCTCCTCATTCAGAAATGAGGGCTGTGGTACTGTTGTCACTGGCAAAGTGGATACGAAACAACGCGGAGGGGGAATAGACGCGAACATCCAAGTCTGTACATCCATGACAGATGTATGCTCGGCTCTCAGCATTGACGCGAGCGTTGAAGCCAACTGCTCGTTTGGCTCTTTTGATGATCGATTGCAATACACGCGCTCATTCGCCAAGTCGACAACCTCCGTCCTCATCATGGTCGTGGCAAACAGAACCCTCGGCACAGATGAAATCACCGACGCCAAATTCAGCGCAAACCAGAAATGGATTCTGGACTCTGCCAACGACCTCTACTCTGTCGGTGGCGACTCTTTTGTTGCAACGACCACGCTCGGAGGCCAATATATTGCGTTCTACCAGTTCGATGCCGAGACCATTCAGGAGCGCGATCAGCTCGCTAACAGCGCTAAATTGAGTGCTCATACTGCTGCCCTTAGCCTCCAAGCAAGGTTGGACACTACTATCACGAACGCTAGCTCTCATACCGGGAGCAAATACACCTTTGTTCAAAAGATCTTTGGCCAAAGTCACGGTAAGCTGCCCGACGCGAACAACATCGGGCAGTTCGCCTTGAACTTTGGCGAAGCTGAACTTGACGCCCCGATAATCCTCAATTTCACGACACAGTCGTACAATACCGTGGAGGGGCATCCAAAGATGACCAATGTGGACAAACTCCGGTCCATATTCGCCAATCGAATACACCCGGCCAAGGGCCTTGGAACCATTCGTGTGGCCGCGCAGCATGCCTTGGACAGCATCGCCACAGTCCGTGCTATATATGACGTATATGGTTGCAGAACGGCCGACAATACACTCGACGCTCGTCAGGCCACGTACAAAGGGTACATCGACGCCATCGACAACTGGCAGGCCGATGCTGAGGCCGACGTTGAGCTTGCCCACCCACCAGTGCCTATGATATGGAGCTCCAAAGATAGCCAGCGACCTCTCGAAGCGACCGACATCCAAATGCCCGCCGCGTCTTACGCCATCATGATTGGCCCCGCCGCTGGCGGTAACTGGGGCGGCAATCCTTTCGACAACGTCCCCAGCAACGCTATCCTGCGTCGAATGCGTGTCACCGGCATCGAGGTCTGGTCGGGCGAATGCATCAACACAATCCGCACGCGGGTCCAGTATGGAATTGACGGGTCGACAGAGACGTTTGTCACCAACGACCCTGGAGACTCGATGGACAATGGCATGTGGGACCTTTCGAACATGTCGCAGGTGATACAGGAAGTGAGCGTGCACTACGCGACAAACGACTGGCTTTGCAAGGAGATTACGATAGTCACGAATCAAGGCAAGTACCAGACCCACTCTGGCGAAGGGGATCAGTGGGCCACGTGGACGGCGCTGCCGGGTACAGACTGTTTCTTGGGGTTTGCGGGGAGGTTTGGAGCCCTTGCAAATCACTTAATGGTCAAGTTTGTGAGGTTTGCACCTGTGACGTGGGAATAGAGCTGGTTTGCACGAACTCACTCTCCACCACGACTGTAACGAAGACAAGGTTGACGAGTGCTCGCCGCAAATCAGTACAGAGGAGCAGCGCAATGAGAGATGCATTCTTTTGAGAAGCTTATGATCGCAGCGGCTGGACGAGCTGTTCGACGAGTCGGTGAGGACGCTCATTGCTGAGGATGTACAAAGTACGGAAATGTCTTCGATGCTGTATAGCAGAACTATGATTGGTTTGACGTACGTTGCCGTAGCGTGTTTCCCGTAAGTATGCAGTCTAGCATAACTTTATGTAACGTATTCCACCAGTAAGCCGGCCACTTCTCCGTAGCATAGCGAACTTTCTCCTTATCAAGTGCTGCACAAGTGCGTCTCCCTAGCACCGGTAGGGGCAAGCGGCATTGACCTTGCTATGCCAACTTGTATACCTTACATGACTGGACTACTTTTGCTCTCCTGAAGCTAAGAACATGAGCCTGGAGGAGGTACGGGTGGTCTCTCAACACGGTCTTGGAGTCAAGTATGGCGAGGAACAGCGCAAGCAGCATCAGACAGATGTGAGGCTTCACGAACAGTCGAATCCATAGGGGCATGGAAAATACTGCAAAACGAATCAAGGTGGTGGGGAAGGTGCAATGTTTGTCATACAATTATCATTCGCTCACAATACGCCTCCACCCACGTATACATGTTGACTAACGTCTGGTCCAGCGTATGTTCTGATCTACATGCCTGCATGCTCTGATATCAACCTCAGGAGCTGGATGCGTGATATGGCTTCTAGCCAGTGGAAAGAAGCTAGAAGCTGCAAATGTTGCTCACAACAACGAGGAAAGGCCAGTGCCCTGGCCAGCAGCCTCCATCAAGAGACGCGTAAACTTGGTACGCTCGCTAGTCTCCATAACAGTCGAACGGCGAGTCCAACCAACCTCAGTAGGCAGGCGCTCGTTCCCTACGTCATATGCACGTTAGCAACTAGTCTCTGTATTTCCGCTCAAGAAAGATTGAAACTTACGCAACCAGTACTCAATGAAGTCTTTCCTCACAGTACTCGTAGTGCCATCAGCCATGATCTCAAAGAAAGAGGCGCATTCACCCCAACTGAAACCATCAGCCAACAACGATGTCTTGTGCTCTGGGTTAGTGCGCTTCGATGTTTCGAGTCGTGCCATGCGGGCGTCGGCCAGTTGTTGTATCGTGATTTCTGGTGTCTTGAAGAAGGAGGCGGTCTCGGCCCAGACGGTTTCATTGAATGGAAGAGGGTCGGCAAAGAAGCGATCGGAGCGACTGCAGGTGGTTGACACGTTAGATATGCTGAGGGATTGAAGAATAGTATGTTTACCTCAGGCTGAAGTCATGCTCCAGTACGCCCTCACGGCCCAATGTGTCGAGGTCGAACGTACGTGCGAACGGCTTTGGATTGGTGCGTACCGCCTGTGAGAAGAGGATGATGGCGTCGCTCTTGGCGATGTTAAAGCCATTGAGCATTGCATCAGCAAGGATATCGCGTGTGATGTCCCGGCCATTATGCGGCAGGTACCCGTGGTTGGCGAGAGTGTTGAGACCGGGACATGGACCGCGTGCTGTTGAGTCATTCATCAGTGGGATGTTCTCATCATGACCAGAGATACACAGTTAGATAAGTCGACTAACCATCATTTGGACCCGGCGCCGTCCAATTCCTGGGCTGCCAGGTCTGGCGGGCGTTGACATTGCCATAGGTGGGGAAAGCCAAGGCTGACGCAAAGATGGCAGAGAAACTGATAACTGATGATAGCTTCATGATGATTTTGAACGAGAGGATGAAAAGACCGATGAAGTCAGAAGGAGTCTTCAAGATGGATGCTAACGAAAGGATGTCAGAGTGTGACTGCTCAAGAGTGATCGCTTTGAAGTAATCTCTGCTGGTATCTTTGTTATCTTTGAGCACAAAGTCGAGTTATATATCTGTTTGCTTCGAGTAGCAGCCACACATCGTTGCCTGACGTGAAACTCATCAATGACATCGCCGGCCTTCGTTCCCCACATCTCGACGACGTTGCACCACGCCAGCTTGCGTGCCTCGGCTCGCAAAGTCGACGAAGAGATGCGATACGTGAACTTTTTGACACTTCCCTGGGATGTGCTTGGGAGGGTCGCAAGGAGGAGAGGCAAAAGAAACACTGGAGGACTTGGCAGTCCGGAATAAATAACCGACAAGCCACAGCTCATTTAACGTACGCTACAACGACCGCGGCACAGATTAGGAAGTGGGTCGCATGCTTTGACCTCTTGATGCGCTGGTAACACTGATCTGTTTTACAGGACATGTCCATAAGTGCTAAGATGAGAGATGACGTATAGGGTCCTTCTTAGTCGGCCATGTTCTAGGAAGACTGATTATGGCAGTGCACAGTGTTCAAGAGTCTCACCACCGTACAACAAAAGCCCTGCGTTCGACGAGTTGAACCAGTTCGCATACATCAGGAGCTTACAGAAGGCAACACTGGTTGCGATTCGTCGCGACGATCGGCCTGGTAATCATTGATAAATTGCGGCATGCCTGACCAGGTCTGCAGTATTCTCTACCAAGTCAGTTGATAATTGCTCTGAGCATACGAAGGCACCGGACCAACCATATTACTTGCGACGGATCTCTCCCAGTATCTTCAGCTGGTATGTAGTGCAGATATCGATCCAACAGTTGTAATTTCATCCCAGACTGATGCGAAACACTCTCCCCGCAGTTTTGCACCTCGGCAGTTTCGCGACCTGTCACGCCCTCCAATACTAAATGAGGAATGTTTATTGCCCGGTGGATGATCTCGTCGGATCATGATCTGCGTCACTAAGGTGCGATCGGCGTGGGCTTTGGCGGCGCGACACCTGCGAGGTTGTGCTGAGTAGCGAGCGGGTAACGGCGATCAAGTCTGGGTCGACCTAACGGGCCGCGGTTCAGACGTTGTG